GCGGTAGCATGTCGGGCAGCAGTGGGGCGGGGCAGTGGGGCGCTGGCCTTACGGAATTATTTTTTCAAAGTGCACAGGGAGCCCTTGCTTGCAGGCGATGCGGATCTTATTGTGGCTGGGGGGTGGACGGTGCGCGGCGCCCCTCAGGCGGCAGTTGACGAGGGTGAAGGTTTGGGTGCTGGTCCACAGGTTCGTGTCTGGCACTGGGATCCCCTCGGAGTTGCAGACTTTTTTGACGTTAGTATCGTTGGCAATGATGAAGGTGTTGAGGACCTTGCAGACCGGCGTGGTCATGCCCCGGCGCTGCATCATCCGGTTGCAGTAGGGAGTGACCGGGGTGCGGGGGTAATTGATGTGCTTCCGCTTGAAAGCCTGGTACGTCTGCCCCTGGGCCAGAGCCAGCCCCACGGCCAGCCAGACCAGCAGCAGCATCGGGTGAGCCATGGGCTGGATCTCCCTGCCGTGGGGAAGAAGGGGGCACATGGATATGTGGGGCAGAGGGGACGTGCATCCCCCATGAACCCCACAACCTCATCCCCTCCAGCCTCCGGCCCTGGCAAGGTTCAGCAACTTCCGCGCCCCCAGCACCCGGAGCCGGGAGACCCCCCACAAGATGCACGTCTGGGCGCGGGGCCAGGGGCAGGGGGATGCTCTCTGGCCCATGTGGCAGGGAGCCCAGGGGCCCATCAGCGGGTGACCCTGGGGCTGGGCCTGGGGCAGACTCCAGGGCCCAGACAGAGCCCGAGAAGGGGCAGAGCTGCCCGGCTGGGTCTTTGGGTTCCACCATTGTTGCCCGGGAGCATCAGTGCCTTGTCTGGCCCGTGGCCCGGCCCCAGCTATGGAGGCCAGCGAGTCTCTCCCATCGGGGGCAGGAGGCAGGGGAGTTTCCGTAGCGCAGGCGAGTCGGTGAATTCTGCCTGCACCATCCGGCCGAGCCCCGGGGAAGATGCTGCTACTTCTACCTCCCCGGGCAGCCTCAGCCCCGCACCTCCAACGGGTCAGCTCTCACCTGGGCCTGGGGCCGGGCGTCCCGTGTGAGCGGTGGCTCCGGATCCCGGCGAGAGGAACGATGCTGCTCTGGAGCCGGCCGGGGCTGCGCGAGTCTCAGCCAGGGGAGCCCGTCACGAGAAGAGAGGTGAGTCTGCGAGAGTCCTGCCCCGGGGCGGTGCTATATAGAGCCCGGCCAGGCTGGGGGCAGGGAGAGGAGGGGAGGGGCAGCTCCTTGCTCCCAGGCCCCAGAGATGCTGGGGGGCAGGGAATTAGGGGGAGGCAGTTGGAGGGCTCTCAGTGCACAGGCACTCTACGTGCACTACACCTCTCAGTCGACAGAGATGTAGATTAGGCAGGTCGAAATTGCTAATGAAGCCGGGATTTAAAGATTAGCATCAATATGGCCACTGCTTTTATTCGAAAAGGGTCTTTTTCGGAAAAAACCCGGCAGTGTAGGCGCCGATCTTTTGAAAAATAAAGCCTTTTCGCCAGATCCTGCAAACCTCAAAAGCTGCAGCCATGTATACGCTAATGAAGCGCAGGATATTTAAATCCCTGCTTCATTAGCAATTTCAACGTGCCTAGTCTACAGCTCTCTGTCGACAGGGAGGTGTAGTCTGGACACAGCCAGGGCGTGCTGGGTACCGATTAACCACGACCCCCCAACACTTCCATCTGTGGGTCCCTGCCCACATCCATGTGCCCTGAGGGACAGTGAGCCAGCCATGGCAGGGGCAGGCCTGCCTCCTAGTCCCCCAGCCCAGCAGAGAGCGTGGGGGCCAGGTCCTGCCCCCCAAGTGCCCCAGAGCTGTGGGGAGGGGCGAGGGCTGGAGGTGACCTGGGGCGCAGGGTCTGGCTACTGGTACCAGCTTCATCCTGGTGCTTGCGTTGTTTCTCCTGGCTTGCGTCCAGGGGCAGACACTGGAAACGCGCCGCGAGGGCCAACCAGGGTCCTACCTTGCTGGGTCGGGGAGGACCCAGGGGGATTTTTGTGGACAGGGCTGGGGGGCCCAAGGGAGCCAGGGCCCTGTTCTTCACTCCCCAACCCGGCTGCTTTGCCGAGCACCGGCTGGGAGTCGGGCAGAAGCTGAACCGTGCAATGGCCGGGGGGGGGGGGGGGGGGGGACACCCCC